GACACTAGAGTTGGCCAGTGGCCCAGCTTCCTGAACATTTCAACTGACAAAATGTCTCAGTCTGAAGACAATTCCTCCACTATGAGATCTGTGGGTTCACTAGTTAATATTGGCAACCAACTAGGAGGTGCTCATGAAGCATAATAAGTAAGTGGCTATTGAGGTGGGGGAGGTGCTTTTGCTCCCTGGTGTTAGAGAAGAAAAGACCAACATCAGCTATCAAAGTGAGCCAAATAACTGGGGAGAGCAGATGTCCCTAGCTCATGCTGGAGGCAAGTCAGGACTTCCAATGTGACGAAGCCCACACACCACCGTGCTGCCATATTAGTGCCAGCACCAGTACTAACTTCTTGCTGTTCTCAGAAATGACATGGACATTCAAAGAGAGTTTCTCTTACTGTTCCACAGCCCCCAGCCTACTAGTTGATAGGCCATCAGTGATAAGATTAAGAGATTCTAGTCAAAAGAGTCAAATGCCAATAAACAGAGATGTGTTCCGCTTCAAGTCAAGGAAATGTAAAAATAACACAGCCATAAAGTATCATTTTCACATGCCAGATGAGACAAAGTTGAGAAGATGGATAATGCTTAACTTTAGTGATTATGGTAGAGAAAGTGAGTAGTCTCAAAAAAAGATTGCTAGTCAGAGTATAAATTAGCACAACCATAGTCTTAAAGAGGGCAATTTGGCATTATATATCAATCAAAATTTAAAATGCACATCCCCTTTCATGCAGCAATGCCATTTCTAGGACTTTATCCTAAGGAAATAATTTGAAAACAGGTAAAAATACATATACAAAGTTGTTCATCACAGATAAAAGTTTAGAAATAGTCTGTGTGCAACATGAAAGATTTGCTTAATATAGCATAGTTTATCCAAACACAATTTAGTTAATTAGTGAGAAGCTCATTTATTTTATCCCCTTCTGGTTTAATGTAAATTCCTTAAATGTGTTTTCTGATTATTTAGCTAACCTATCATTAAAATAGAAAATTTCAGACACTGAAAAAAAAATACAATTTAAACATTTAAATGGTTATGTGGAGCTATAATTATCAAAAGGAAAATATATCCATAATATAGGTTTAGGTGTAATAAAAAGGCCAGATTATAAAAAGGTATATATAAAATGACTCCATTTTTTTAATTAAAAAAAATACAATTTTGTGAGTATGTGTGTGCATTCTTTTAAGAACAGATTGTGATTGGTGTTGCTTTGGCAGGATGCATAGTGCAAATAAATGGATGATATCCAAATACAACAATATCTCTATTCTATTTGGAGATCTCCAAATACAAAATCATGGGGGAAACAAAGGCAAGTCTTGAGGAAATAATATGTTCAGTAGTGTGCTGGTAAATATTTAACAACTGGCCATTAGGTGGGGCAGGATGAAAGTCCTTTGCAGCATTTCTCAATTTCTATGACAAATACTCCCAATGTTACTCCTTTCAAGCTACTACTGTGACGTCACTGAATGCAGAGTCGGGAAGAGATGTGCAGCAGCACACCCGTACATAGTATTTCTATGATACATATACAACATGCAAATAATTGCAGGAGTATAGATAATGCTAAAGTGCAGTAAACTTATTAGAAAATGATGAGTTTTGTGTATGCACTTTTTCTAAGTCTAGGAGGAGAGTCACTAATATAATATTGATTATGTCTTAGTGGAAATTTCATGAAACATATTTACTTCATTCTTTAGGCCTTTATGTGTTATTTTTTTAAATATTTTTACCATGAACATGTTATCTCTATAATCAGGAAAATATCAATCAAGATGGGGTTTTTTCTTATTTGTTAAAACCTAGGGGGGGAAAAATATATCAGGGAACATTACTTTTAACCCAAGTTTCACTGGATCAAAACACTTTTCCAAAAGGATGTGACTCAGGATAATGGTGAGCAATGTTTGAATCAATTAAACCACGGTATCTTTGTTTAGTCATGGCGAAGGAAATGAGCATTCAGTGTTTATAAGGCCTTTCAAAATATAAATATGCAACATCAGAATTCAAAGGCCCTCTGATACTCTTACTTTACAAATAACTAAATTGAGTCCCAAGACAGGTAGATGGTTTCCCAAGGTAAGCACTACAAGGCAGGTTATAAGGTGACTCAGGTCCTCTTTGTTTATAAATGGTCTCTATAGCTTATGGTCAAAGTACATATTCCTTACTTGTGATTATTTGATAAGAAGACATGACCTCATTTGGGAAAGTACTATTCATTCTATTAGCTAATTGCTGAAGTCCCGACTCTTCCATCTTTGTTCAGGTAATAGCAGCTTACACTTCTCCAGGATTTTATACTTCTCACAACACTTCTGCATAGATTCCCTCAGTTGCACTTCATAAGAGCCTGTGAGACAGGTAGGGTAAGAAGGACCACTCTTATTTTACAGATAAAAAAACTGAGGCTAGAGCAGGCGATCGGCTAGCCCAAGGCTAGTGAGAGCTAGGCGTCTGGTCTGGTCATGGTACTGTCTGGAAGTCGGCTTCTTTTTTGAGGCCCTTCTGAGTCATCTGGGTGTACCTTCTCTGAATGTGCACTTCTCCCTTAGTCTCCCTTGTCCCTTTGACAAATTCTTTCTTCCATCGGCTCCGATCTCATTTTGTACTTGAGGGTATTATTTCCCAGAATTGCTCTTTAGTTTATTTCTTTTATTCTGGAGTGAAAGGTAGTACCCAGTTTCTTTGGGTCTGGACATATTCTTGTTCTTCTCTATTTGGCATGAGGGCCAAACCCTACCATGCTGCTTCATCTGGAAATGTGACCTAATTTCTATCATCAGAGGAATGACTTCTGCAAAGGTGCCATGGGTACTATAAAGCACTGAACTGTAAACACTTGGGTGTGACACGTTTCTAGATAATCTTGGCTTTCTAACCAGGTGAACGTTGAAGTCTGAGGAGGCAGGCTTGCTCCAAAAATACAAATCATCCGTAAGAGAATGGGTGCTGGGGAATCTAGGATCCTGTGTTCTCTTAAGCTTTGTTTTATTAAAGGGAGGAAGTGGGTTCTGCTGTTAAGAGTGCAATGTCTTCGGGAAGAGCTGAGAAAGGTACCAGTGAGCTATGTCCAGGTCCAGAGACCAAAGAGCTTCCAACTTATACTAACCTGTGTGGTGCCTCAGTTCCTGGATTTATGCAACCTGAGACAAGGAAATTCTCATTCCATCAATTTCCTCATTGCTGACACTGGAATCATAACGCCTGGCTCACAGGGTGTAGTGAAAACTAAATTAGCTAGAGGCCAAAAAGGAAGATATTTCATAAACTAAAAATTGCTATGAAAATATGTGGAATACATTTAAGATACTGTATCTTGATAATTTTTGAAGTTTACTGCTCTGGGCAAGGGGAGTGGAGTAGCAAGTTAAAAAGGGACAGAGTGTCAGACACTGCAACAGGCAGGTGGCCAGGTTTCTCCAGGCAGAACAGGATGCATACTAATTGCTGCACCTCCACTGACTCTGGGCAAACGACTCCTCTCCAGAAAACACACTGTCCCTTTCCATATCAAAGGCTCTCTCCTAACTGGGCTTCCAGCCACATGCAGAACTCCTGGACGCCCTGATGCACTGGAAGTGGGGTGCTATCATGAAGATGAATATTAATGAAACTGCTTCTGGGGAATGTGTAAGCTCCAGAAGGGATAGCAGTTTCCCTAGAATTAGGAATGTCTACTCTCAAGGACTCTTAATGACTCTCGAATGACAAATTGTCAAAGAGCAGAGATGAGTGTATGGGAAAAACATAGGTGTATTTTGATCTGATAATTTACGAGAGTATTAAAAAAATTAGAGGAAAGAAGACACCACCTTCTGGTTAATAGTGTTCAATGTGGGAATCAAATTCGCAACTTAATATAAGGAGTAATGAAACACTCACTCTCTAAACACTTTGGAAAAATAAAGATAGGGTCGGAAGGTCATTTCTGGTGACATTTGCGGAGGTCCTAAACACAACTGTCATTTGATGATCAAATCTAAGAAAGTGTAAGGAGATGGTTAAGAAAGCCACATAAATTTGGGTGCCTTTTACCCCCTTGTAATTTTTCAGCTTTGATAGCAGAAGGGATCTACTTTGGAAGGTCCAAAAAATGTTGTTGCTATAGGAACAGGTAAGCAGATTAGACTTGAAAGTCCAGTTTAGGAACAAAGAATTTAACAGACAGAGCTAAAGCAAATAACCAAGAAAGCATTTTCAGTTTGTTATTTACATATTAATTTCTGGAAGATAAAATGCCATGATAGAATGAAAGCATTCCATTTTGATTACACCATTACTGACATAAAAGCCCGCGCTTACACAATGAGCAGAACGACCTTATTACATAGAAATCCGCATTTCTAACTCTCTCTTGATTACATTGTGAATGAGAAATACAGCTTTAAACTCAACAGAGTATCAGAATCATCTTTGATTTTTCTACAGTTCCCCAGAAGGGAGCACATCTAAAATAAAAGAGAACGTGAACTTAACCAACTAGGGAGCTACAGGTGAAATTCTAGAAGTAAAGAGAAACATGTGTAGGGTAATTGTTAATATTTTACATGTTTTTATTGCCCAACCGTCTGTGAACACAGGGCCGTGAGAAGAGAACAACTGCCCTGTTGATGTTCTGCCCCCTCCGATGAGGGGCTACACTGCTCCCAACCTTAGGGATTTGCTGAAATTGTTGGAAGTTTTGTACAGAGCTTGCTTCACAGGGAAGGCTCGAAAACCCTCCGAAAGCCGCATCGTGCTTCTCTTCCTTTCTGCTCTACTTTTCAAAGGAAACATTCTTGATAAAATGAATACAGTATTTTCCGTCTCCCACATTTCTGCTGTCAGAGGTTGCCTTTAGGGGACAGAGAGGCTTCTTGGACCTTGCTTTTGGGCACAGGATTCCCCAGTGGGACTGCAGAGAAGCGCGTGCGGGCATGTGTGCGGGCGGCCGCCCCGGGAGCCGGCAGCAGGGGAGAGGAATGCGCTGGAGTCTTACCATCTCGTTCTCCTGTCCTTCGTTGAGCAAAGCATGCTGGCCCTGGTCGAAGCGGCCCCCCATGGAAAGGTGCTTCCACGCCTCCCTCACCTCCCCGGAGCAGCCGCGTCCGGGCCGGGCTGCCAGCTGGCTGGAAGGATTAAGGATCCTCCAGGTAAAAACTCCCTCTGGAGCACACACCTCCACTCAGCAAGTGACAGCGCCGGACTGACTCCTCCCAGGGGCCACCCTCTGCCCTGCTGGAGCACTTGCTGCCTGCTGCCTGCATTCCCTCAGGGCAGCTGTCCCCAAGGAGGCTGCTCCCGGGCCGACCTTTTCGTGCCCAACTTACAGGGAGAGAACCCATGGCCTGCCAGTGGCTGCCAGCCTAAGGCAGCAGGCTGCAAAGCCGAAGACAATGCGGAGCTGGCACAGCCTCCTGGGGACCTGGGCAGGCTCCAGAGCTCCCCGGCCTCTGCTTTATCCGCAGAGGCTGCAGAGCTGGGGTCCGGGTGAGGCTAACAGAGCCGCAAGTTCGATTTGATTAATGAAAGCCCCAATCCCTCGACTTTTAATAGTAGCCAAATTCATTTTACTTACATAAGGTACAAACGATGGCCAATCTTCTTCAGAAGGAGTCTGTGATGACATGCCTTTGTGTGTGCACAAAGCATTCCGCTTAATGGGTATGTGGAATTAAGTTCGCTTTTGTGAAAAACACGTAGAGAGAAGACAGAGGTGTGATCAAACTATTTTATGTAGTCACGTTTCACTAAAATATTGGTAGCTAAGTGCTTAAGGAGGGCTGGAAATAAAATAATCAGGTGACTATTGGGCAACGCTCATTTTTAAATTTATTCTCACATTCATTCAGTGCACATTATTTGAGCGCAGTGACTACATATGTAAATCAAGTCATAGTTGCTCCCTTCAGGCCCATGTAGGGATTCAAACGTGCAAACAAACACAACAGAAATTGGTTAGTTACTTTGAAAGCTGGAAAGGTGTCTGTAATAATCACCTTCATGTATGCAAAAAACATCTACTTAATGTGTATATGGAATTAAGCTTACTTTTGTGAAAACACATAGAGAAAGAACAAAGATATAATCAAACTGTTTTATGCAGTCTCCTTTCATTAAAAGGTTGTTAAACTCTTAAGAAGGTCTAGAAATAAAATAGCCTTCCAACAGCCCTGCACAGTTATTAGTCTTATTTCATACATGAGCAATCTTTGCAGCCCTGCACGAGCTCCCCCAGTGAGGTGTAGATCCTGGCTTCAGGAGTTGGGGTGACTACAAATCTACTGCATAACGGCCTTTCAGTTAACAACAGACCTCATATACTACAGTGGTCTCATTAGATTATAACGGAATTGAAAAATCCCTAGCCTTAGCTGGTGTTGCTCGTGGTGAGAGTGTCGACCCACGCACCTGAAGGGTCATGGGTTCGAATCTCGGTCAAGGGCATGTACCTGGGTTTTGGGTTTGCTCCCCACAGCCCTAGTCAGGGAGGCAGCCAGTCGATGTGTCTCTCTCACAC